GAGCTGTGCTTGTGCTGACGTGAGATGTGCTTGTGCTAATGTGAGATGTGCTTGTGCCAATGTGAGATGTGCTTGTACTGATGTGAATGTGAGTTGTGTTTGTGCAAATGTGAGTTATGCTTGTGCTAATGTGTGATGTGCTTGTGCTAATGTGAGTTATGCTTGTACTAATGTGAGCTGCGCTTGTGCTGACGTGAGATGTGCTTGTGCTGATGTGAGATGTGCTTGTGCTGATGTGAATGTGAGATGTGTTTGTGCTAATGTGAGTTATGTTTGTGCTAATGTGAGATGTGCTTGTGCCAATGTGAGATGTGCTGATGTGAATGTGAGATGTGTTTGTGCTAATGTGAGTTACGCTTGTGCTAATGTGAGATGTGCTTGTGCTGATGTGAATGTGAGATGTGCTGATGTGAGATGTGATTGTGCTAATGTGAGATGTGCTTGTTATAATGTAAGTTATGTTTGTGCTAATGTCAGATAAGCTTGTGCTAATGTGCGCTGTGCTTGTTCTAATGTGAGTTACACTTGTGTTGATGTGAGATATGCTTGTGCTAATGTATGGCATTGAATAACACATGTCTGCGTATAGCCGTGCGAGACTCGACGGACTGTGTCAAATAACACTACCAATGGATGGATATACACGAATAGACCCAGAGCTCTATGGGGGGATGAGTACGTCCCGAGATGTGGTACCAAGAGCGTGTACATACTACCAGTACTACCGAATGGGATGGCCGTCAACTCGGTTTGTTCCGTAGCCATGGCTACACTGTGGCCCACGAGGTTGATATTGTTCAGCATATGGCCTATGCATTTTTACCTACCAACTCACTATGTAGATGATTAGAACACCCTAGAAATTTGTTACACGAGCCAGAAAAACACCCCTACCAAAAACTATGTTCAACCAGGTTTTTATCTACCAAAACTGTATTCAACCAGGTCTTTACCTACCAAAAACTCGGTTAGTTCCGTATCTGTGAGTACACCGTAGCCTACACGGTTGATTTTCTCCAGCACATGCGGTAGCAGTGAGTTGAGCCAATCACGAGACAGATTCAGCAACTTCAGAAGGTCATCCGACACCAAGTCTTCCCGGATGCCAGCAACTCGGATTGCGCTGAATAGTATGAATATACACATATAAGAAAAATATATATAC